CTGTGACCCTCTTCTTTGTAACCCTGTTCACAATTACACTAGCTTCCATGTGGTTCTCTCTTGTTTTAGGCATGAGGTAAGGATGTTGGGGGAAATGAAAGACAGAAAGGAGTTTTAGGTTAATCTGTCCTGATGAAAACTGAATGTTTTGTGTAATTTACTATAAAAACAGACCTGTGAGTTGTAGCAGGCCGATGAACAACTTATTACTTAAATACAATGTTTATTTTTAAGACAGGTTCTTGCCATACTGCTCAAGCTGCTCTCAAACACTCAGGCTCAAACAATCCTCCTGCCTCGGTCTGCAGAGTGCTTGAAACTCAGTTATATACTGCCATACTTAGTTCCTACATAAAAATCTAAAACTCACAGAGTAAGGCTATGTATTATTGAAAAGTGCATACAAATGGAACCAATGTAGAAAACACACTGGATAGTGCACACCAAATTCATTTGGAGAAGGGAGAAGACTATGAAGGAAAATTAGGAAGCTTCTACTTGATATACATAAAGTTTTAAATGGTGTTTTCAAATGATAAAAATTAATGTATATTTATAAACTTATAGAGTGTACAAATGACAAAGTTTATTATTTTCAGTCAATATCTATTTTTAGACCTCAAAAAACAAAAGCAATAAAAAATAAGTGGCAATAAAGCATAGTATGGCAAGTTGAGCATGACCTGGAGCTGGCAAAGTGGCCAAGCACCAGAATAGATGATTAAGGCAAGGAGCCAAAAACCAGAGCCAGGGCCTTAAGTGCTTAGTGTGATCAGGAGGCTAACCTGAAGTGAGTACCAGGAAAGCACTGGCGTTCCACAGTTCCCTCGTGGGTGGCACAAGGCACTGAGGTCAGATGGATAAGCACAAGTACTAGAGATTGATTCACCGCATAGTTAAGAATGCACAAAATGCTGACCCTTGAAGGTTTTTTGTTTTTTTTTTGGTTTGGTTTTGGTTTTTGGTTTTTTGAGACAGGATTTCTCTGTGTAGTCTTGGTGCTTTGTCCTGGATCTCGCTCTGTAGACCAGGCTGGCCTCGAACTCACAGACATCCTCCTGGCTATGGCTCCCGGGTGCTGGAATTAAAGGTGTGCACCACCGCCACCCTGAGACCCTCGAACCTTTAAGGCTGCAGCAAGGATGGAAAGACTAGAAATGAAATAGTGATGACTACTGAACTGACAATGAGGAAAGTCTTCAAGATCTTTTGAGTAGGAAACCTCAAGATGGAGATACACCAAGACCACAGATAGGGATAAAAGCATAATCTGCCAGGGGGCAATAAACTTGGAGAGCAGTGTCCGCAATGCATCAGGGCTGGGCAGCAGGTACAGTGGAGCAGCATGTCGCCCCACCAGCCCTGCCAAAGGAAGCCCTTTGTTACTGCCTGTGGCTATGTCTGAAGAAACTTACCAAGGTTGTCATCAGGAAAGGACCCCTTAGATTCTCGGTTTGTTTGCGTTTGGAAATCATATAAGTAATATTCAACTTCATTTTACATCTGGAGGCTTCTGATTTCAGTACTTCTGGTGATAAATGAAAAGAGCTAAACAGAAGAGCAGCAAAGAAATACTGTCAACCCTGTTGACCCAGAAGACATCCATAGAATATATCCCTGCTTCAGAAATGCACAATGGCATTAGCCAACAGCACTTCTGTTCAAGATTGTGCTAGAGGGTCTAGCCAGAGCAGGTAGACAAAAAACTAAGAAGAAAAAAGCAATTCTTTTATTCTTTTTTTAGAAAGCTAGAAGTAAAACTATTTTACTCACAGATAAGATAATGCTACATATTGAGACTCCTAAGAAGGAAACTGCGGGGGGTGGGGGGACACCATGAGAAATAACAAGCATGCTCAGCAAGTGTGCAAGTTATGTGGTCAGTGTATAAATAACATTCATTTCCATGAGCCAGCTGTGATGGTTTTAAGGAAAATGGCCCCCAAAGGGAGTGGTACTATTAAAATGTGTGGTCTTGTTGGAGGAAGTGTGTCACTGTGGAGGTGGGCTTTGAGGTCTCATATGTGCACCAGATACTACACAGTGTCTTAGACCACTTACTGTTGCCTGCAAGATGTAGGACTCTCCACTGCTTCTCCAGCACCATGTCTGCCTGCATACCACTATGTCCCACCATGATGATAATGGACTGAACCTCTGAACTGTAAGTGAGCCACCCCAATTAAATGTTTTCTTTTATAAGAGTTAACATGGTCATGGTGTGTCTTCACAGCAATAGAAACCCTACCTAAGACACCAGCTATGCAGAGTCCACAAATAAAATCAATAAAATGTTTTCATTTAAAATATTAAACCACTTATAAACAAATTAAGCCATCAGCCACCCCCCCAAAAAAAACACACCACAGTTTAAAAATACACACTGTAAATTATTGAAGGGCACCACAGGGCTGTACTAATATAGCCTATGCTGGTAGAACTTGAGTTTTAATGTCTAGGCTGATATACAGATTTGGTGCAAGCATATGGAAAGCTCAGTGTTCCTTTTGCTAATATTCACAAGCTCACCCTACAATTTATGGGAACATGCAAGAGGCCCAGAATTATCTAAACTATTTTGAAACAGAAGAATAAATTTGGAAGATTTACATTAGCTGCCATTAACCTTGCTACAAAATTATACCACCAAAAAGAGTAGTATTGGCACAATGATAGACCATAAGTCAACTGAATAAAATTGAAGAGCCTCAAGAGAAACCCTGACATTTATGATCAATGCATAAGCATATGAGGATAGTTTAATGGAGAAAGAATAGTATATTGACTAAATGCTGCTGGAAGGTTGAGACAACCATGTCCAGAATAATTAAGTTGGACACTTTTGTGCATGCTGTATAAACACTCTGAAGCCAATGGAAGAGTTAAAAGTTGTATAATTCGCCATTTCTGTGAGAACCGGGAAGGATATTGGTGTAGAGGACATTCACTACCATGAGTTCTGGTGCATTGCCAAAACCTCAGATGCATGGTCTTCTGGCCAAGCGCCTGCAGGTTCACATTGTTGGTGCATTCATTATGGCCCTGGGAGTTGCTGCTTCCTATAAGTTTGGTGTGGCTGAACCCAGAAAGAATTATGACTCTATGAAGGACTTTGAAGAGATGAGGAAGGCTGGTATCTTCCAGAGTGCGAAGTGACATCAGAATGTACAGAATTCTTTGGATTGCGCTCCATAGAAGTTCATTGCTGACCTGTGTTCCTGAATTATGAAACACGAATATGTGGGCTAAGGAGTAGTTTACCTCAATAAACAATTAACAGTTTTATGGATAAAACAATGCTGTATAACTCTTAGGAGGAAATGTAGATATTAATCTTTTAAAGTATGAGTTTGGAAATGATTTCCTTTTTTAATGCAAGTCAGAAGTAATAAAAGATAATACAAACAGGTTGGACTTCATCAAAATGAGAAGAAAAGGAGGAGGAGAAGGAAGAAGAAAAAGAAGAAACATGTTGTAAATTATACCATTAAGAATGTGAAACAAGCTGGGTGGGGGCACATGCCTTTAATCCCAGCACTTGAGAGGCAGAGCCAGGAAGATCTATGTGAGTTCAAGGCCAGCCTGGGCTACAGAGTGAGTTCCAGGATATCAAGGGCTGTTACACAGAGAAACCCATCTTGAAAAAACAAAAAACGAAGAGGAGGAGGAGAAAAAGGGAGGGGGGAGGAGGAGGAGGGGAAGGGGAAAAGGAGGAAGGGGAGGAAGAAGAAAATGAAAAGAACTGCTGGAGAGATGGCTCAGTAGTCAGGAACACTTGCTGCTTCTTCAGAGGAACAGAGTTCAGGTCTTAGTACCTGAGAGAGCCAGGTGAGAATATATAACCATCTGTGCCCACACTACATGGGTCACAACAGCCTGTTACTCCAGTTTTAGAGTATCTTCATCCTCTTCTGGACTCTGTTGGTAGTTACATAAACATCACACACACACACACACACACACACACACACACACGTGTGCACACATACACCTTTAACAAAAGACAGTGAAAAGAAATAATGTATATGAGAATGTGTGCATATCATGTCTGATAAGGGATGTATATCTAGAATGTATGATGAACATTTAAAACCCAGTAAGAAGAGAAACAACCCACTTTAAAAAAGCAAATATATACAAATATATACCAGACAATAAATACAGTTAACTGGTAAGCAGATGAAAAGATGATCAACATTCTTACTCACTAGGGAAATGTAGACCAAACCCACGAAGTTAGTCCATTTAACATCCATGAAGATGACTATCATAAAAAAAAAGGGCAATAGCAGGTTTTGATAAGGAGGTAGAAAAATTGGAGAACTTACACATTGCTGATGGAAATGTACAGCAGTACAGTACTCCCTAAAAGTGCTGGTGATTTCTCAAATTGATAATGTCAAACATAGAGTTACCATATGGCTCAGCAACTGCACTCCTAGGTGTAGAACCAAGAAAAATGTAAACACATGTTCTCATATAATAAACCTTGAAATCATTATGCTAAATTAGAGAAAACAATTGCAAAAGACTGTGAGTTGCCTTATCCCATTATATGAATTCTCTCTAATTGATTTATAGAGATAAAAATTACATTAGTGTTTGCCTGTGGCAATGAAGGATTATGGAATGACTGCTCCTCTTTCTGGAATGTCTTTGGAGATATTAAAACCTAAAAATGACTGTGGTGCTGGCTGTATAACTATGGTGTATAGTAGAATATTGAATTGTATTCTTTAAATGAAAATGTGTCATGGCATGCAAATTACATTGTAGCAAAGCCATTTACAAGGTCATGTAATAATTATGATTCCAGTAACAGTTGCTTATATTGAATTAACCTTCCAACAGACAGTGGTCACAGAAACTGAAAAACATAGAAAGCCACAACTACAAAAACAAACTAACAAAACAAAATTGGAAACTGACAAAGAGCCAGAAAGTGAAAGGAATTTAATCTCTAAATAAAGGGACAAAAGATATGGGGTCTACAGGGATTCAGTTGATTTATAGAGACAAAAAGTACATCAGTTTTTTCCCTATGGCAATGAAGGACTATGGAATGATTGCTCCTCTTCATGGGATATCTTCTGAAGATAGTGAAATCAGGGGAAAAAATCTAGTTTACATAGTGCATGGAGGTCAAATACTGGGAGCCTTGCTTCAAATGGGTCCAACGACCTGGAATGGATGTGTAAAGTTGGCGCAATGAAGAAACTGTGACCACCTGTTTCAAACAAGTGGCCCCAGATAGCCTGGGCTGTTTTTATTTATACAATTTCAATGGTTTGCATGGAACACTTTACCATCAGATCTGTTTCCTTGAGTTTCTAAAAATGGTTACAATAATTACCAGTTTGTTCCTTTGTTTCTTTTCCCTTGCGTCCCCCAACCTTCCCATCGGTAACCGTTACCTATTTGATCCATAGCTCTAATGTTAGATGAATAAGCAGTGCTGCAAGCAAGGAAGCTTTCTGGCCAGGCACACCTACAGGTAGGGCCGTGTGCCCTGTTAGCATTTAAAAAGCATCAGTCTGTTTGTCTTGAGGTAGCAGAACCCAGAGTCAAGCTCTGCTAGGGAAGCTGGAAACGAAGGGAGTGAATTGTGGGAGAGAGTGAGCCAGGGGAGAGTATACAGCCATCTGTGCCCAAACACAAGTCAGCTATGCAGCAATTTGCACAGTGGTGAAACTGATGAGAACAGCAGCCACAGTGATGTGAAGAGAACACTGCCATCCGAGGGCTCGGGAAAGAGTATTACAAGAAGGTCAGAATGAAAAGGGACTCCCTCCGTACAGATGGCATCCTAACATCATTATAAATGTGGTGGTGCCCACTGGACTGCAGAGAAATTGGCCAGGTTTCTCAAGCAGAGCTAGTCTTCAGTGGTCAAGCAGGCAGGAAACACAAAACAAAACCTGCAGCCCAGGGGAGGAAGGCTGATAAACTGGAGGCAGTGGAAACCCACTTAAGAAGTGCGGAGCACTTGGCAGACTCCCAGACTAATGAAAGGTAAGACACAATTATAATACTAGAGCTGCAGCTCAGAGATGCAGATACAAGTAGGAAGAAAGAATTGGGAAACTGATTTAAAAAAAAAAAAAACTAGTATGAGGGCCAGAGTGACAGCTGTAAGTACAGTGCATATCATACAGGCATGAGGACCCGAGTTTGACACCCTAGAGCCCACATGGGCATGGGGGCAAATGCTTGTAATCCCAGGGTTGGAAGACAGAGAGAGATGCACCCTTGGGCATTATTGGCCAGCCATCCTAGCCTACTCTGTGAGCTACAGGCCAATGAGAGACCCTGTCTCAAAAAACAAAGTGGAAAGTGGACAGTGACTTAGGAATGACAGCTAAGGTTGTCCTCTGGCTTCTACACACAGGTTCACACATATGCATGTGCATGCACACACACACACACACACACACACACACACGCACGCACGCACACATACATTCACACAAATGTGTGATTCTATTAGTATAAGACCATATGACTTAAAGGAAAAGGATACCTGGGTGCTAGTGAGATAGCTGGATGGGATAAGGCGCTTGCTGAGTTTGACCCAAGCCACTCAAATGGTGGAAGGAGAGAACTATTACTTCCATGTTGTTCCTTGATCTCCCTCCATATGTCATTTTAAAAAATCATTCTGGTCTATGCCTTTAATCCCAGCACTCAGGGGACATCAGGCTTGCAGAACTTGGTGATTTCGAGAGCATCCTGGTCTACATAGCAAGTTCCAGGCCAGCTAGGGCTACAGAGTGAGACCCTGTCTCAAGAAGATTTTTTATAGCTAAAAATACTTACATAAAATAGGGATATTTTATGTAATGACAAAACAGTCTGATCATCTAGAAGCCATGAAAATCTTAAGCATGTGCCCTTAATAACAGACTTCAAATGTAAGATTTGAAAGATAGTAGTATAAAGCTAAAAGGATAGATAAATATTCATCAGATTAGAGATTTTTTTGCAGCCCTCTATAATAAATAATACAAACACACCAAGAAAATAAACAGTGATGTAGAAGACTTGAAAAAGCTTGGCTTAGCTATAATTTGTAGCCCATTATGCCTAACATCAGAAGAATGCACATTCTTTTAAAGTACCCATGTAGGGGCTGGAGAGGTGGCTCAGAGGTTAAGAGCACTGACTGCTCTTCCAGAGGTCCTGAGTTCAATTCCCAGCAACTACACGGTGGCTCACAACCACCTGTAATGAGATCTGGTGCCCTCTTCTGACCTGTAGTCATACATGCTGTATACAAAATAAATAAATAAATAAATAATAAATAAAGTACCCATGTAATGTTTACAAAGGCAGCAATCAATCTGTGTACCATAAAGTTGAATACCAATAACTTCAGGTACCAATTATAATAAGTACATTCTATTAGTTCAATTAGAACTTAATCAGTAGTCAATAGTATGTTTGGTAGAAAAGCCTCATGTAATTGGAAATTAAACAATTTGTAACATAAAAGTGTTGTTGAACTTGGTGAGGTCACAACCTTGTGCCCCAAGTCAGGTCCAGCCACCTGTCCTCAATGAGCCAACTGAAAGAGCCAAATAAAAGCAGGAAGCAGAAAAAGGAGTTTTCTTCAATGTGGCCACATTGGGAAGAAAGCCAAAGAGATCCATGCCAACTCCTCAAGCCCTTCTTCAGGGTCATGAAGTGAGATCAAATTTAAATAGAGGACTAAGGATGTGTGCACATCTAAGCATCAGCTCAGGGTGTGGTTTTGCCCATTGTTAACCCCTCATTGTCTGGTTTCCAGTCTCATCCTGTAGAACTGTGTGAAAACTCTTGCATGGAGACAAGTCTCTGCTCTGACTGGTTCTTTTTCTTTCTCTCATCATGAGATGCCTGGTTAAAGGCCCATTTCTTTGGTGTCCATTTTTTTTTAATAATCAGATAGTCAGGTTGAGAGACACAAAGTGTTTCTTTAAAGCATCTTAATTTGTGTCAGAACAGTTACAAAATCATAATAGAAGTAAAGAATATTTCAAATTAAACAATAAAGAAAATGCAAGGTTTCTAAATTTGTGGGATGTGATCAAAGCAGTGCTTTCAGGGGGCTGTGTAGAGCTAAATGCTAATGTTAAGAATATGAACTATGATTTTAACTTACAAATTGAGAAAAAGAAAAAATTAAACTCAAAATAATTCAAGGAGAAAAATAAAGATAAGAATATCTTAGAAGTCTACAACTAATAGATGAAATTAAAACCAAGAAGT